GCCACCGAGCCCGGCCCTTATTGGATCTTTTATTGTTAGCCTCTGACAAGTGTCTGGCACATTACAGGTTCCCAACAAATGTTGAGTCAGAGAATAAGAACATTTTATCTTCAGCTAGCCTTTTTTCTGACTATAGCTTTATGGAGATGTAATTCACGTACCACACAATGTGAAGTGTGCACCTCAGTGGTTCTTAATATATTCAGAGTTGTCCACCCAACACCACAATTTTAGAATATCTCCATCAACTTCAAAATGAAATCCCCATACCCATTGTTAGTCACTCTCAATTTCCCCTAAACTTCTCCCCCGGCCTTGGGCAACCACTAATCTGTTTCTGCCTCTATTGTGACTCTTCTAGATATTTCATATAAAGGTATCTACAATGCGTGATCTTTTGTGACAGGCCTACTTCACTTAGCATAATGTTTTCAAGGTTAACCTATGTTGTCGCAGGTATCAGTATGCTACCCTCCTTTTTTGGCTGAATAAGATTCCATTATATGGATATACCTCATTTTACTTACCCATTCGTCAGTTGATAGGATAGAATATCCCTTTCAGAATGATCGTTCAAGGGAAGGGAAGTACAAAAAACACCTTCACACCAGTATGCACCAGCACAGGGAACATAAGACAAATTGATGTGGAATAGGAGGACAAGAGCCAGAGGGAGTTACTGTGTGTCCCTCTGCTTCCTCTCTCACTTACCCCTCAAAAAGGGCACTCTGAGAGGTGAGTCAAGTACTCTCCAGGAGGGAATAGTTTCACTGCTTAGCGGGGCCCTTCCTAGGCCCATCAACCTGGTGGTATATGTAAACCTCAAGACTATAATCAAGCCAGGTGTGGTGGCTCACACCTGTAATCCCACACTTTGGGAGGCAAGGCAGGAGGATCATTTGAGGTCAGGAGTTTGAGACCAGTTTGGACAACATAGCAAGACACACACAAATAAAAATTAGCGGGGTGTGGTGATGAACACCTGTAGTCCCAACTACTTGGGACACTGAGGCACTCACACAGTCTGAGATCAGAGATCGAGGCTGTGGTGAGCTGTGACTGTGCCACTGCATCCCAGCCTGGGTGATAGAGTGAGACTCCGATTCAAAAACAAACAAACAAACAAACAAACAAAAGCACCAAAAAAGATTATAGTCAAACATCACGTTCTAGAAGCTACCCTGATCTCTCAGGCAGTTTTTAGGAATATCTTCATATTCCCACATGACATTGCATTTACTTTTTTGCATTTTTCTCATCATTTTGCAATGGTGAGTAGAAGAAAGAGAGCAGCAGGTTTGAAATCAGACAGTCCTAAATAGTTCCATCCCTTACCACCTGGTGACCATGGGGAAGTTACCTATTTATGGACCTCGGGGTTGGTGTGAAAATCAAATCGCGGAAATGATTATGATATAGTAGAGTGGAAAAGACTTAAAATCATTTAGTCAATGTGATGCTCCTCCTGAGATTGTTTGTTCATATAAAATCTCGGGGCATTTGCTTATATTTTCTTGAAGTAAAAAATATAAACTAAATTGCAAAGGTCTGAGAACCCCAGAGCCACCTAACTCTTTGATGTCACTGCAGTGCTGGGTCTACTTCCTTTTTACTTCTTCTTTGACTTTTGCTAGTTTCAGAGATTCGTGTCAATAATTGTCAAGGTCCCCAGAGAGTGCCAGAAATATAGGGCTATTCACGTCTCTTTCAATATGCACACTTACTACGTGCATAGCAAGCTATGTGAATCAGCATTTTCTACTTTTTACTTTTTTTTTTTTTCTCATTTCCAACTTCTTCTTTCACTGCCAACTAATATTTTTCGCATGGTCGTCCGCAACCAAACTCCCAGCTTTCCGGGATTTAGAAAAGAGATTTGCAGCCAGTGTCGTGGATTCGAATCCTAGGTCCTTCTAGCGCCTCTCTTTCTCCATCTGTAAAGCAGGGCTAAGAGACCGATTTTGCAAAGTTGCTCTAATACCTGGGGATTAAAGCGCTTCTTAGGCGGGGGGTGCTTGAAGGTGAAGCATCCTCACGAGAGGCAAGGGCGCTTTAAGGCGGTGCC